AGAGTTTTTTTTTAAATGAACTGTAATGTTTTTATTTTTAATGTGAAGCTAACAAAAAAAATACCTATGAATATAATGAATAGGAAGTTCAAAAGCCCATATTCAGTAGTGGAGCCAACTTAATTAAAAAAATAATGGTTAAGGTTGATTTGAGTATTTTCTCTCCTGGACATTCTGAGCAGGTTTACACACAGATAATATATAATAGACATGTTTTGGTAAGAACTTAGTAACTATCTAGTAATAGCCTATCTAGTAATAGTTTTTTAAAAAAAGCCTAAGTAAGACCAAAATGCCTAGTACCTAGACAGAGAGAGAGGACCTGGACACTGTCCCTGGGCTTTTTTTTAGTCAAGGCTACTGCTCTACCACTTGAGCTATAGCTCTACTTTTAGCACTTTTGGTAGCTAATTGGCGATAAAAATCTTGCAAACTTGGGGCTGGGAAGGTGGCTCAGTGGTAGAGCGCTTGCCTTGCATGCCTGAAGCACTGGGTTCGATTCCTCAGCACCACATAAGCAAAAAAGAAAAGAGTCGGAAGTGGCGCTGTGGCTCAAGTGGTAGAGTGCTAGCCTTGTGCTGAAGAGCTGAGGGACAGCGCCCAGGCCCAGAGTTCAGGCCCCACAACCGGACCCAAAAAAAAAAAAAAATCTCACAAACTTCGTTGCACAGGCTGGATTTGAACTATGATCCTCGAATCTCTGTCTCCTGACTAGCTAGAATTACAGGCAAGAGCCACCAGTGCCTGGCCCTAGAGATTTTCTTTTACTTCAATAATATTTCAATATGACTAGGAAAATTATACTAAATGTATCATCAGAACTAAGTCTGGTACTGCCATTGTTTTGTAAAAATAAACTTTGTTGTATAACAGATATGTTTTGTACAGATAATTTTATTTTATTTTTTTTTTGTCGGTCGTGGGGCTTGAACTCTGGGCCTGGGCGTGGACCCTCAGCTCTTCAGCTCAATGCGAGCGCTCTACCACTTGAGCTACAGCGCCACTTCCGGTTTTCTGGTGGTTTATTGGAGATAGGAGTCTCACGGTCTTTCCTGCCCCGGCTGGCTTTGAACCGCGATCCTCAGATCTCAGTCTCCAGAGTAGCCAGGATTACAGGCGTGAGCCACCAGCGCCCGGCTTGTACAGGTAATTTTAAGTCAGAAAGAATTGTTTGTTTTTTAAGTTTTCATGGCTCAGCAGCTACAACCCAAGTAGAAATCTTTGCAAAGGCATTACGAAAAAGAAAGAAATACTTAAAAGATGTTTCCTGAGAAAAGTCTATCCACAGCAAGATTATGTATTCATTATACTAGAACAACTATGAACATTACTGTAATGTTTTAGTTAGAAAATGCTTATGAAAGACAATAAAAAACATGATTCAGCCTGGCAAAGTGGCTCATGTCTGTAATCCTAGTTACTCAGGAGGCTGAGCTCTGAGGATAGTGGCTCAAAGCCAGCGCAGTAAAGTCCCTGAGACTCTTATCTCCAATAAACCACCAAAAAGTTGGAAATGGAGCTATACCTCAGAGTGGTAGAGCACTAGCCTTGAGCACAAACAGGCCAAAGCCCTGTTCAAGCCCTAGGACTAGCATTAAAAAAAATCCACTTCATGGGGCTGGGAAGGTGGCTCAGTGGTAGAGCGCTTACCTTGCATGCATGAGGCCCTGGGTTCGATTCCTCAGCACCGCAAAAACAAGACAGAAGTGGCGCTGTGGCTCAAATGGTAGAGCGCTAGCCTTGAGCTGAAGAGCTGAGGGACAGCGCCCAGGCCCAGAGTTCAGGCCCCATAACTGGACCCCCCCCCAAAAAAAAAAATCCACTTCAGTAGGTATCATGACCATAAAAGAAATGGCTATCTTTTCAACAGAAATGACTTTCTTCAGTGAATTTGTTATGTTTAAAGTAGTATCAGCACATTATTTTTTATTAGGTTGAGGTTATCTTCATGGTGGATTTCACCAACCATTTAATTCTCTGCAATCAATTTTTTTTTTTTTTTAAATTGCCAGTCCTGAGGCTTGAACTCAGGGCCTGGGCACTGTCCCTGAGCTTCTTTCGCTCAAGGCTAGCACTCTACCACTTGAGCCACAGCACCACTTCCGGCTTTTTCTGCTTATGTGGTACTGAGGAATTGAACCCAGGGCTTCCTGCATGCTAGGCAAGCACTCTACCACTAGCCACATTCCCAGTCTACAATCAACTTTTTTATTTTTTTGATGGTCCTGGGGCTTGAACTCAGGGCCTATACTCTGTCCCTGAGCCTCTTTGTGCTCAAGGCCAGCACTCTACCACTTGAGACACACACTACTTTCGGCTTTTTCTGAGTAGTTTATTAGAGATAAGAACCTCATGGAAGGATCTTCTTGCTTGGGCTGGCCTCCACTATGATTCTCAGATCTCAGCGTTCTGAGTAGCTAGGATTATAGGCATGAGCCATTGGCACCTGGCAACTTTTTAGAAAAAGAAGTCAAGGGAGCATTTTCTAATTTACCCAATGAGGCTAGCATTATGTTACCATTAAAGGAAGCTGGGTATTGTATACACATCTATAATCCCAGCACATGGGAAGCAAAGGCAGGAAAATCTCTAGATTTCAAGGTCAGTTTCCACTTATATAGTGAGACTTTTATTCAAAATCATAAGAGCCATTACAGGAAGTAAAACTGCATCCCAATATGTTTCATAATCTTGAATGTAAACATTATCATTATTTTCCTTGTGTCTCTGGGGATTGATTCCAAGGCAAGTGGTCTATCACGTAAGCCCCCAGTCCTTTTTGCTTTAAATTATTTTTTAGGTAGGGTTTTATCCTTTTGGCCAAGACTAGCCTCTGCTGAAAATCCTCCAACCTATGTCTCCAATGTGGCTGGGATTACAAATACATGCCACCATGCTCAAGTTTTTTTTTTTTTTTTTTTTTTTGTGTGTGTGTGTGTGTGTGTGTGTAAGACAGACAGAGAGAGACAGAGACAGAGACAGAGAAAGAGACAAAGACAGAGACAGAGAGACAGAGAGAGGAGAGAGAGACAGAGAGACAGAGAGACAGAGACAGAGAGAGAGAGAGAGAGACAGAGAACTCTGGGCCTGGGCACTGTCCCTGAATTCTTCAGCTCAAGGCTAGCATTCTACTACTTGAGCCACAGCACCACTTCTGGTTTTCTGGTGGTTAATTAGAGATAAGAGTCTCACAAACTTTTGTGCTCCTACTGGCTTTGAACCGTGATCCTCAGATCTCAGCCTCCTTAGTAGCTAGGATTATAGGCATGAGCCACTGGCACCCGGCCAAGTTGTTTGTTGAGATAGGGTGTTGCTAATATTTGGACTGGTATAACCTTGGCCTGCAATCCTGATCTCCATATCCTGATGAAATTACAGGCATGAACCAGCAAATGCAAGAATTCTTAACAGAATATTAGTTAATTAGATCCAACAATGTATAAAAATATTTAAATACAATGACCAGGAAGGATTTATTCCATATATTCAAGGCTAATCCAACATTTGAAAATTAATGTAATGTAATCCATCACATTGATAGGTAAAAGAAAGTCAACAAATGGAGAAAGTATTTAACGAAATCTATTATCTGCTCATGATAGAAACTCCCAGAAATCAGGAATAAAGGAGATTTCTTAATTTGACAAAGAAAGCCTACAAAAAGCCTACAGGTAACATCATGCTTAATAGTAAGATATTGGATGTGTTCTTTTTAAGATCTGGAACATTAGGTAGAAGTGTCTTCTTTCATTTTTCCTGTTTCAACACTGTACAAGGGTTGAGAGGCAGTCTAGCTAATACAATAAGAAAATATAGGGGCTGGGAAGGTGGCTCAGTGGTAGAGCGCTTGCCTTGCATGCTCAAGGCCCTGGGTTCGATTCCTTAGCACCACATAAGCAAAAAGAAAAAAGCCAGAAGTGGCGCTGTGGCTCAAGTGGTAGAGCGCTAGCCTTGAGCTGAAGAGCTGAGGGACAGCGCCCAGGCCCAGAGTTCAGGCCCCATGACCGGACCCCCCCCCCCAAAAAAAAAGAAAATATATACAGATTAAGAAGTACATTTTCATAGATGACATGTTTGCTTATGTAGAAAATCCCAAAGAACTGAGAAAAAATTTCTGAAATATGTAATTATAGTCAGGTTATAGGATACGAGATTGATACATAAAAGTCCATTCTTTCCCTATAAACCAGCAATGAACACTTGGAATTTACAGTTGAAAACACAGTACCAGCCAGGTGTGGTAGTACACACCTGTAATTCCAGCACTCAGGGATGGGGTAGGGAGGATGACTATGAGTTTGAGGTCAGCTTGGACTACATAACGAGTTAAAGCTTAGCCAAAAAAACTAAGACCCAAATAAAAAATAGAAAACGCTGCAACTCTATAAATCTGGTGATGAATTTTCAGATATGACACCAAAAGGACAATCTGTGAAAGAAAATATAAGGAAATTAATTAAAATGAAAAACTGAGGATGTTACTCAGGGGTAGAGCACTTCCTCAGCATTATATGAAAATGAAAACAAAAATTAAAACTGCCCCATGAAAGACAGTGCTAAAGGAATGAAGAGACAAACTATAGAATGGTAAAAAAATCTTTGTAAATATGTAAATAAAAACAAAACATGTGTGTTAGAACCACACTAAGAGGATAAATAATCCAATTTAAAAACAGGAAAAAAGTCTAAAGAGACACTTCACTAAAAAAGATACACAGATGGCAAATAGCCATATTAAAAGATGCTCAGTATTAGATGTCATTAGGGAATTTGGAAATTAATACAACAGTGAAGTACCACTATTCCCATATTAGAATGGCCTAAATATAAAACCTGTTAGTACCAAATGCTGGAGAAGAGGAACAAGGACACTTAGTGATAGTGGGAATGCAAAAATGGTGAACCACTTTGGGAGACAGTCTGGCAGGCTATATGACCCAGTATTCACATTCCTAGGTATTAGTTCAGCTAAAAACTACATTCACACAAAAACCTGCACACAAATGTTCATAGCAGCTTTATTCATAGTTGCCCAAGATGGGAAGCAACCAAGATTTCTGTAATGGGTGAATGGATAAATACACTATGATATAATAAGCTACTAAAGTCATGGAAAGACATACAGAAACCTGAAAGGTATATTTGCTAAGTGAAAGAAGCCACTCTGCAAAGTCTATACACTTCATAATTCCAACTATGACATTTTGAAAAAGGCAAAACTATCAAGACAGTGGAAACCAGGGACTCAGGGGCTCGGAGGGAGGGATGAGTATGTGAGATAGAATTTTTGGGTGGTGGGTCTATTCTGTATGAAACTGTAATGGCGGACATGTCATTATGCATTTGCCAATACCTAAAACACAAAGAATAAAACTTTAATGTAGACCTGAGACTGTAGTTAATAATAAGTATCAGTATTGGTTCATTAATTGGGAAAAGTATGCCACAATGAATGTAGTATGTTCATACTAGGGGAAAACTAGGGAGGGATGAGGGTATAGGACAACTGCATACAACTCTATGTATTATCTGCTTGATTACTCTGTAAATCTAAGCCTATACTAAAAAACATAATTCTATTATTTAAAAATAAAAGCACAGGAACTAGATATTTTGGAGTCTAATTACAAAGGTAATATACATAACTTTACATAAGAGTGATTTCAAACAAGTTAACATACGGAAAATATAAACTTTTTATTATAGTATGCTTTGCTACTCTTCGTGACCTTAATATAGTCTTAGGTACAAAACAAGATTCAGTTTGTGTACAATAAAACATATTTCATCAAAAATCATCCACCAATACTTAAAACTTTCCTTTGTACACTGGAGATATTGGGTCAAATGCCTTCTTAGCATTTAACTCTTGTCATGTTAATGAGTTTTGAGAAGTTTCTAAAAATGTTTGCCTTCCAATGTTTTGGTCTTATTGGTTCTATTTTATGGAGTTATCTGTGATGCTGCTCTAGGATGTGACTGAATCATCTTATGTCCCCTACCTCTACAAGCAGGTAGCAATGCTTTCACCTCTAGTCTTCACACTGCTGAGTTTCGTCTGTTGTTTATGGGCAAGATTTAGCTCCATAGGAATGGACAGAAATGCAAATCTGACACGTTACATCAACATCGGGACTAAAAGTCCCAGGGCTACAAACCACTGCAAAGGAAAACACATAGAACACATTATTATAATTTAAAAGTACTCATATCAATAATATAAATGTCTTCAATATCATACCATTTCTATACTTTTACCTATACCTGTTAAGCCAACTAAGTTGTAGAAGATTATATATGAATTTCAAGCTTTATAATTTGATGATCTTTAAAGGAAGAAATAAGAATGGGGGTGTGGCTCAGTGGTAGAACATCTGCCTAGTAAGCGTGAAGCCCTGAGTTCAAACCCTAAAATCTCCATACATACATACCTACATATATACATTAGAATCTTTTTTTTACTTTAATATAAGCCTGTTGCCATCTCTTCTATAGTGGCACATATTTCCAGTTTTCTAGTACTTATTTCCTCATTTTGAGACATTTTTTTTTTTTTGCCAGTCCTGAGGCTTGGGAACTATCTCTGAGCTTCTTTTGCTCAAGGCTAGCACTCTACCACTTGGGCCACAGCACCACTTCTGTTTTTTTCTGTGTATGTGACACTGAGGAATCAAACCCAGGGCATGTTAGCCAAGTACTCTACTACTAAGCCACATTCGCAGCCCCTCATTTAGATGTCTTACAGGTAAGACCATTCTGTTTTCCTTCATAGTATAGAAGCAAGAATGTTTTATAAGAATGCAAGCCGGATGCTGGTGGCTCACGCCTGTAATCCTAGCTACTCAGGAGGCTGAGATCTGAGGATCACTGTTCAAAGCCAGCCCGGGCAGGAAAGTCTGTGATGTGAGACTCTTATCTCCAGTAAACCACTTGAAAACCGGAAATGGCACTGTGGCTCAAGTGGTAGAGAGCTTGCTTTGAGCTGAAGAGTGCAGGGACAGCACTCAAGCCCAGAGTTCAAGCCCCACGACCGAGAAAAAAACAAACAAAAAACCCTTAAAAAAAAGAGTGTACTTTACTAAGACTATATATACAATAAGATAATATTTAAGCTTAGAATTTTTTTACATCTCTTTAGCCAAATGTATTTTGTAGAATAGATCAGTGAAAAAATTATCCTAAGTGATTATATACTCTAGATTTTTATATTTGATAATTACCACAACAGCTAGCACAGTTGCTATGTAGGCCTTCATTTTTTCCAAAGCCTGGTCGACAGCTATCCATACGTACAACCTGAAAACTATGGTCCACAAAATGCATAGCAGGTACACTTCTATTGATGTGATGGGATAAAATGTTTGCTTGGCTCCGAAAAAATTCTTCTATCCGATCTCTTGCCTAAGATTTAAATACCAGAGAAAAGTATGATTACTAAACTATCAACCAAATTCTACCTCCTTTGTCAAAGGCAATGAAATATAGTGAAAATTTGCCATGCTTTATACATCATAAATTCTCTAGAAGTTGTGTGTTAAAACAAAAAATTAGGCTAAAACTAGTCTAGCCTTGAACTTATCAACTACTCTCAATTCATATATAAAATGGTTAAGGAAAAAACAAATTAAAAACTTGTTTGAATTACTCATGTCTATTCCATATTGTATATAACTGGAGTTATCTAGTTAACTAGAATTAAATATTACTAGTCTTTGCACAAGTGGAGTTTGAAGTCAGGGCTTCATGATTGTTAGACACATACTCTACCACTTAGGCCATACTCCCAGCCCTTTTGTTTTCTTTCTTCTTCTTTTTTTTTAGGTCTGGGGTTTGAGCCCAGGGCTTTGGGCTTGTTAGACAAGTACTCTATCACTTTGAGTCACACCTCTAGCATTTTATTTTGTTTTGGAGATGGGGTCTCACTACTTTTATTCAGAATTTGTGATCTTTTTGCCTCAGCCTTTTAAGAGCTGGGATGACAGGCATGTATCACAATACCTGGCCTGTTATTTCTACTTCTATATAGTCTTCAAGAAAAAGAGCCAAATAAAATGGAAGCCTTTTCTCTAATCAGCATTGAAAACTAAATCATGCATGAATTTTGCTCTACCTTCAGAGATTTAATAATAGTATCAACTTAGTACTTTGCATAGCCATGTACAACATGGTATGTCTTTAAAGGTATAGATTATAAAGTTATGGGCTCAGGAACAAGACCAGAAGTGTGAAAGGATTTTTCAAGACTATTTACTTAGCCAGTGAAGAGGGCAGAGGAGAGAGCAGCTGTTATTATTAGTATAGATATAATTTTGAAGAACTATTGATTTAACCTAGGATGAAATGGTTGTGAGGTTGTTCTTCAGGCTGCTGTTTAATCATCACTTGGGACACAAAGACCAGGGTTCCGTCATTCTGTTATAAATAGAATACATATTAATCTGGGGAGCTCTGTATAATATTGCAGTTGTACTACTAAAAAAATAATACATTTTAAGACAGCCAGTAATCTCCCATGCAATATCTAACCAGGCCCAACCCTGCTTAGCTTGTGAGATTAGATGAGAATTGAATGCATTCAGAGTGGTATGGCTATGGACTAAAATAACCAGTAATTTCACAATATATATATATATATATATATATATGTATATAAACAATACATATGTATATATCTATATATGTATACTTAAGGAATATATATATATATATATATATATAATTTATATATTTAACTTAAACTGGGTGCCAATGGCTCACACCTGTAATACTAGCTATTCAGGAGGCTGAGATGTAAGGATTGTTGTTTGAAGTCAGCCTGGGCAGAAAAGTCCATGAGGCTCTATCTCCAACTAAACAGCAAATTAACCAGCAAAATGCTGGCTTGGAGGTGTGGCTCAAATAGATTACCAACTATGAGTAAAGAAGCTGAGCCAGAGAGAATTGAAATTTATTCTTAAGAAATGCTTTTTATTTGTTGACAAACAATCACAACAGAGAGACAGGTTGTGAAAAAAGAAAATTTTAATTATTGAAATAAAATATTTACAAAAATTTATGAAATGTTTTATTGTATTTGGCACTTACAATGAAATTCTCACCTGGAGGATATTATGATTAGTGATATCTTCACAGTCAACAGATACATTGCATGCAGTTTTCCACCCTGGCGCAAAAGGATTAACTGGAGGTTGAAAATACAATAGGTTCAAAAAGAATTTTAAAAAGTCCCAAACATTCCAATAAAGCTTTATTCAGTATGCATCCATATATACATTTAATCCAACTATGAATCCTAATAGTAAATTTAGGTACACAATCTGAATAATTTATACATTGTGAATGTACTCCATCTGGGGGTTAATGGAAGTAATTACAAGACTTTAAATGGAAGCAAACTGGGTTTGGTTATTCCTGTCTGTAAATTCTTATATACACCATTTAAAATTCTACAAGAAGTTGTAAGTGGAATATTAGCTGCATAGTTAAAGGCTATAATCATAAATAACACTGACTTCTAAATAAGTAACAATATGTATTTGAAGGCAAACAATTAATATTATTTGTGGTGCTGCTGGAGATTAGAATCCAAGGCTTCATACGTGCTAGGCAGGTACTTTGCCACTGAAGGCACACTTCCAGCCCTTTTATGCACTGGTTATTTTTTAAGTAGGGCTTTGATTTATGAGCACACCAGCCACTGTGCCAGTCCTGTTATCCCTCCATAGCTGGGATAACAGGCTCATTCCATTATACCCAGCCATTGGCTGAGATGGAGTCTTCCAAACTTCTTTTTGCCTAGGCTGGCTTCAAACAATGATTTCCCCAATCTCTGCCTCCTAAAGAGCTAGGATTGTAAGATTAAGCCATATTCTTGGCTCTGAGTTGATTTCTGAGACAAGAATCAGAGCCTCAGGCTGGGAAGGTGGCTCTGTGGTACAGCGCTTGCCTTGCATGCATGAGGCCCTGGGTTCAATTCCTCAGCACCACATAAGCAAAAAGAAAAAAGCCGGAAGTGGCGCTGTGACTCAAGTGGTAGAGCGCTAGCCTTGAGCTGAAGAGCTGAGGGACAGCGCCCAGGCCCAGAGTTCAGGCCCCATGACCGGACCCCCCGCCAAAAAAAAAAAAAAAGAATCAGAGCCTCTCTGATCTCAAGCCTTTCTTCCTCCATCTAACCTCATGACCCATATCAACACTAGGTTCCCCTTCACTCCTAATGCTCCAGGTTAGATGAACCAAGTCACATTTCCCTAACAAGGCCTGAATTTTCCTTCCTCTACATTCTTACCCTCACCCCCCCCCCCCCCCCCGGCCATACTGGGCTTAGTATGTTAATTTTTATTTATTTTTGTGCCAGTACTGGGCTTGAATTTAGGGCCTTGGCACTGTCTCTGAGCTTTGTCTGTTCAAGACTGGTGTTCTACCACTTGAGACACAGATCCACATTCAGCTTTTTGGTGATTGATTCAAGACTTTCTTGCTTATGCAGGCTTTGAACTATTATTCTCAAATATCCTGAGAAGCCAGGATTACAGGCTTGAGCCAGTGGTGCCCAGCAGTATATTAGTTTTTAAAACCACAACCAGGGAATAATATTGCTTAAAAAATGTTTACAACATATTTTTTTTTTGGTCGGTCGTGGGGCTTGAACTCTGGGCCTGGGCGCTGTCCCTCAGCTCTTCAGCTCAAGGCGAGCGCTCTACCACTTGAGCTACAGTGCCACTTCTGTTTTTGTGGTGGTTTATTGGAAATAGGAGTCTCACGGTCTCTACTGCCCGGGCTGGCTTTGAACCGCGATCCTCAGATCTCAGCCTCCTGAGTAGCTAGGATTACAGGTATGAGCCACCAGCGCCCGGCTTACAACATATTATTTATAAGATATCTCATGTTCATATGATAATTTTGTAAGCTATCAGGGTTGAGGCCTAAACTCATAAAAATAATGTTAATTTTTTTGTTTTACCTTGAAAGGCTATAAATAGCTCATTTATGAGGCCACGGTCTGGAACTTTAACAAGATGGCATTTATATGATGGTTCTATGACATGGCATGACAAATCAGAGATTAAATTATCCAAGATTTTCTTTAGGACTCTAAAAAGCAGGTCATTAAATCTTCCTATACAAGACTTTGTGGTGAAACGCAAAGCCATCTGATATGAATAATCAGGTTCCCTATAGGCTTTGAAAAAAGATGAAAATAAAAACAAATGTGACTAGAATTAATTTCCTCTACCAAACAATTAAAAAACCCAAACCATGTAATATTAAATCTCATTAATCTTGCAAATCAGCATGAACTTATTTAATAAATGGTTTATCAAATTGTATTCATAAAATGTATTTTCAAAACTTAAAGAATAATGTTATTTTCATTTGAAATATTATTTACTTAGAGGAGGAAAATGATTCTACAGATTGGTTATACAGATAAGTTAACAGTATCAAGAATAAACTACGAATGTTTTGGCGGGAGCTCTTAATTCGCAGAAAGTGTTACTACTGTCAGCTCACACAAATGAAAGAATCATTAATTTGATTTTGTAACAGTTTTAAATTACCTGTCAGAATTGCGATAGTTTGTGTTTATATACATAGGCAGTGGGAAGTGGAAACTTGAAAAAAGGATATTCAAGATGCATTTATCTTGATGTTAAGTGTTTGCCTAGACAAAAACTTATGTCATAGTAATTACCTATAATAGACCCATTTTTTACTAAAGGAAGAAACCTTATACTTAACTCTGACTGAGGCTAAACGTGTAAATTAAGATATTCCTGTATTCTTACCAAAGATCATAAAATCATATCGCTTCTTTATAATAGTTTCTTCTTGAGTTTCTGCTTTGATAGTCTTATAAGAAAGAGTACATGTGTAAAGTCCAGACAAAGCTTCTAGAAAATCTTTCACCATCAGCTGTCCTGTGTTTGTTACACTTATTCGATTATTTCCTAAATGGAAGTAGTAAATTACATGGTTTAACAAATAATAATTCAAGCATTACTCAGTAAACTTGGGGTTACAAATAAATACCAATTTTGAAAAAAATACGTTCTCAGGAATCAAACAAAATATTCATTCTATCATCTTACTCTATGAAAAATTACGAGAGGGGCTGGGAAGATGGCTCAGTGGTAGAGTGCTTGCCTTGCATGCCTGAGGCCCTGGGTTCGATTCCTTAACACCACATAAGCAAAAAGAAAAAAGCGGGAAGTGGCGCTGTGGCTCAAGTGGTAGAGCACTAGCCTTGAACTGAAGAGCTGAGGGACAGCGCCCAGGCCCAGAGTTCAAGCCCCACGACCAAAGCAAAAAAAACCCCCCAAAAACAGAAAAATTATGAGATAAGCTTTTGAAATTTATATACATTAGTTTTCTTTCAGTCATTTCTTGCCTCTTAGTTTTAAGTTGTTTATGACAATAAGGTCAGTAAACAATATTTCTTCACAGAAATCAATAATGCTCATAACCCAAGGCAGTCTTCTGATACCACGAAAAATTCTATATTAAATATTTCATATTATTGGATAAATTTTTAAGTTTTTTTTTTTTTTTTTGGGTCCGGTTGTGGGGCCTGAACTCTGGGCTTGGGCCCTGTCCCTCAGCTCTTCAGCTCAAAGCTAGCGCTTTACCACTTGAGCCACAGTGCCACTTTCGGCTTTTTTCTTTTTGCTTATGTGGTGCTGAGGAATCGAACCCAAGGCCTCATGCATGCAAGGCAAGCACTCTACCACTGAGCCACCATCCCAGCCCAAATGTTTAAGTTTTATAAAAATTTCTGAGCTGGGCACAGTGCTTCATGTCTGTTATTCTAGCTATGACAAGAGGCCTAAAATAGCAGTATCTTGATCAAGGTGCAGGCCTGGTCAAAAAGTGAGACCCTATTTCAGAATAATCAGTGCAAAAAAAGGGGGGTGCTGGAGATGTGGCAAACGTGAGGCCTTGAGTTCAAATCTCAATACTTCTCTTCACAAAAGTCTAAAATAATACAGCTCTGGGAAGTAGGATACAAACATGCCTGCTTTAGGACTAGGTGTGTAGCTCTTCACTATTGAAATTAAATCACATAAAAACCATTGCTCCAATGTTTGCTTAAGTAGTGCACAAGGCACAAACTAAGATATAAAATTTAAGTGTGGAATAATAAAAATCATAGTTAAAAATTTAATTTCTCCTTTCAAAAATGACTTTTTGTAAAACTGTTCATACTATCTTTTTAAAAGAACATATTAAAATAATTTTCTGGCTGGGCGCCGGTGGCTCATGCCTGTAATCCTAGGTACTCAGGAGACTGAAATCTGAGGATCATGGCTCAAAGCCAACCCGTTATCTCCAATTAACCACCAGAAAACTGAAGTGGCAGAGTGCTCTCCTTGAGCTGAAGAGCTGAGGGACAGTGCCCAGGCCCAGAGTTCAAGCCCCACAACTGACAACAAAACAAAACAAAAAACAAACAAAATAAATTTCTGAATATGGTGTTACATGACAGCACTTGAAAGGCAGAGGCAGGATTTCAAGTTCCAGGTGGAGTTCTAAGTTACTCTGGGCTACAGTATCAAGATCCTGCCTCAAAACACACACACACACACACACACACACACACACACACACACACAAAACCCAAAGAAAAAGAATGTCAAGTAATTTACCTGTTAATGCTTTTTCATTAGGCCCAATCCATAAGTAGGTGGGGTCCACTGTTTCTTTACTAGCACGACCAAAATCCATACAGATGAGGAATGGGCTATTCTGACGTAATTTTACATATATTTTCACTATGGTAAAATAATGTGTAACTAAGTTACATAGAAAAATCAAGAAATACACTGTATTATTTTGTCCCAAGAGTACTAGTTTTGGATTTCATTAAAGAATTATGACATTTGGACATTTTGCTAGCCCTCATTTAGAATGACTAGCAAAGTCTCCTTCTCATTACTCTCATTTATAGTCTTTTCACATAGTGTAGTTAAAATGTACATGACACACTTAGTAGACTCATGTACAGATTTGGAACGCATCATATATTTTGAAGAGATACTGGAATCAAAGACTATAGAAAGATTTATGCTTATGAAAAGATTTCTGATTACTATTTTAAATATAATCATTATCCCTAAGGGATTCTAGGGGATAATTCTCGACCTGGCTTCCAACACTGTACATTCCCTTTGTTGGCAACAGTAATTAAGCCTATGTGGAATTTGCTAGGAAAGTGTTCTGCAGGGCTAGGAATGTGGTTTAGTGGTAGAGCTTGCTTAGGCATGCATGAAGCCCTGGGTTTGATTCCCCAGTACCACATAAACAGAAAAAGCTGGAAGTGGTAATGTGGCTTCGAGAGGTAGAGTGCTAGCCTTGAACACAGAGAGGCTCAGGGACAGAGTCCAGGTCCTGAGTTCAAGGCCCAGGCCCACCCAAAAAAAAAAAAAGTGTTCTACTATTAATTATTGGGATTCAGATTTGGTGGAAACAGTCATAGTATGTTTGGAACTGGTGTAGTTCCACAAGATAATTTTAAAGCCTCCTGAGTGCCAGGCTGTGAATACATAAAGATACTATTCACCAACTTGTTGGTATAGTAATGGCACTGAAAAGGGAGATAAGATTCAAATATAAAGAGGTTCCAAACATAACGAATATCAGGAAGTAGCTCAGAGTCACTTAAAAGTAGCCAGGTGATTTACTTTGCTAGAGGAGTATGGGAAAGTTGTAATATAGTGAATAACATTTGAGCTCAACCTCAGCAGGTGTGTAGCTCTAGTTAGTAGATTCTGCAAATACAGGGAGAGATAAGAGCCTTTCTAACAGACAGGAAATCACTCCTTGAGTGGATACCAAACCGTTTGGTGGCTCAGCCCTATAATCCTACTCAGAAACCTGAGATATGAGGAGGGTGGTTTGAAGCCAGCCTGAGCCTCTTCCCTTCTAAGTAACCAGTAAAACATCCAGAAGTGGCGCTGTGGCTCAAAGTGGTAGAGTGCTAGCCTTGAGTGCTCAGGCCCTGAGTTCACACTGCAGTAACCAGTGGGGCCTGGAAATAATCCCGGGACCAGGGGCAAAAAAAAAAAAAAAGTTGCAAAACAGCACCACTACTGGAAATGAGGGGGACATCAGGGCAAGAGGTTTACGTTGAATCTGGGCTCCCTAAATTGTGTAGCTCTAGGCAACGTGACATTAGCTAAGGCTAGTGTCTCTGTTAAAGAGTCCTGCAACCTTCCCCAAGTGCAGAGTAGAGCAGATGCCCAGGACAGAGTATAGATGCTCAGAAGAGATAACTGGGGCAGAGTAGATGCCCAGGGCAGAGTAGATGACCAGGAGAGAGTAGATGGCCAGGGCAGGCCTGCTCGGATCCCAGCACCCCACCCCCAGCTAGGCCTTGTGGGGTGAAGAGGTCTCATTACCTGGGTGTCCTAACGTGCCATAAACAAAGCCTTTCTTACTGAGCAAAGAAGAACGTTGCGGTCCGACTGCAGAGGAAAGAAACCATGGACATTTTGGTTAGAAGAGGAGGCGGGACGGAGCGGACCCGAAAGAAGGCCGCAGGACAGGGAGCCTGGGGCGGGCCGAGGGGACCAGCCCCACCTCTTACGAGGGACCAGAGCGCCGCGATGAGTAGGACCCACGTTCGCATCACGGCTCAGGGGCTAAGGGCGTGGGATGCGTCGACGGCTGGGCTCCTTCCTATCTCGGCCCTAGCCCAACGCCTCCCCATCGCTCCTCCACAGAGCGGAGCAAACCGCCAAGGGTGCACTCCCCTACCCGTTCTTCCGTGGCTACCGCTGAGGCGGGCTCGCCACAGAGCGCGTGCGCGCGTGCTCCCGCTCCGCGTGCAGGAGGGGTGGGGCGAACGCGCGGGAGGAGAGCTCCGCCCCTTTGGCGCATGCGCGCCTGTTTCAGGCACCCTGGGAGCTTCGTGCCCGGTGCCACTTTTCCCGCGCTTGTCGAGGCGGGCCTCCGTGAGCTGCACTGAAGAGAAGAGTAATGGAACCTAATGTTTCCCCATTGTGAGTCTCCAGAAGGACGATGATGACTTTGGGTGGCTAGAGGATGCATCACCTAAAGATTCGAGGAAGGGAAAAGCCAGTGAGAATTTTGCCTGGGAATTCTTTATGTGTTTCTTGTCTTGAACTCTGAAACTGTGCCCAACCGATTGCAAACTCATATTCAGTGTTGACCCAAGTGCATACTTCTATCTACAAAACCAAGACCCCAAAGAGCCCACCTCGTCCTCCAACCGCACACAAGAGAACACTGGATATTTTCCAGCTTGGAATATGCGGTGATGGTAGAGACATCTCTCCCTTTGTCTCCATGTAAATTTATTTGCTTTAGAAAATGAGCCTAACTGAAAGACCAGAAGACCTCAACATCTGCTTTTTCCCCTGGGGTGCATGCTGAGTGCATCTGGAGGTCTGCAAGAGATCATGTCTTGTCTTTCCTGGTTGCTTCTTCAGGCTACTAATTTGGTAGCCTGACAGTTCTTTTTTTGTGTGTATCAGTTGTGGGACTTGAACTCTGGGCCTGGGCGCTGCCCCTCAGCTCTTCAGCTCAAGGCTAGCACTCTATCACCTGAGCCACAGCGCAACTTCGATTTATGGAGTGGTTTATTGGAGGTAAGAGTCTCATGGACTTTCCTGCCCAGGCTGGCTTTGAACCGTGATCCTCAGATCTCAGCCTCCTGAGGAGCTAGGATTACAGGCGTGAGCCACTGGCACCCAGCTGAAAGTTCTTATGTATTGTCAATTTCTTAGCACTGGGACATCAACCTCAGTAGTGGTTTTGAGTAGGCTGCTAGGTAGAGAGCCCTAAGTTCAGATAGGGTGCAGAATGGTTATTTTGGGTGACATCAGGAGTTTTCAGTTTTATTTCCTTTGAGCCGAGTCAGTATTTAGAATATCTCAGATGGTCCAGGAGCAACCTTTGTCAGTAATTTCAGTTTTAGTCATTGTTAATTTTACTTGTATAGCATAAGCATGAAATGTGATTCAATGAGTCAGATCCACCCAATGTCAGTTATTATGTCTAGATTCATGGTTTAGTTTCAACTGCTGCTTTCTTGGGGTGATGATAACTAATGAAGGCAAACTGAGACATTCCTTACATTTTTTGAAGTTTGTCTTTCCAGTTTTAATAAAAGTTCTCTATACATCTACAGTGTTATTATTTCCTAGCTATTGTAAAGTAATTGATCCTTTTGAATCTTAACCACGAGTGAGTAGATTATTTGAAAGTACCCATTTACTCTTTTAAAATAAACTTTGAATTGTAGAAGTCTTAGACTCATAGGAAAAAATGCAAAAATAGTATGGAATTCTCTCATACCTCAAACTCCCAATCATTTTCTCCATTGTTAGCATCTTACATTAATATATTAACATTTTACACTAGTACTATTATTATTTTTTTCTTTGTCAGTCATGAGAATTGACCTTGGGGCCTGGGTGCTGTCTGTCAGCTATTCTGTTCAAGGTTAGTGCTCTACCACTTTGAGCCACAGCGCCACTTGCGGTTTTCTAGTAGTTAATTGGAGATAAGAGTCTCCCAGGACTTTCCTGCCTGGGCTGGCTTTGAACTGTGATCCTCAGATCTCAGCCTCCTGAGTAACTAGGATTATAGGTGTGAGCCACTGGTGCCCAGCTTTATATTAGTATTATATTTCTCATAATTAACCAATTTTGATATATTATCATTCACTAACATGCATACTTTTTCAGGTTTCTTTAGATTTTGCCTTATTTTATCTGCACTAAGATCCCCTCTAGAATCCCACTTACATTCAGTTGTTGTATTTGTTTAGATTTCTGTTGGGTGTGACAATTTCTCAGATTTTTCTTATTTTTGATGATCTTGACCTAGCCTTAAGTATTTTGTAGAAAGCTTCTCTATAGGAATTTGTCTGATATCTTTCTCATTGAATAGAATTTTGTTGTTGTTCCTGATGATGTATTGGAGTTTAACTTAGGCCTTGTGCTTCTTAGACTGGTGCTTTACAACTGAACCTTGTCTCCTCCAGTGCCTTTTTGGGTCTAGCTAGATAGGGTCTCTATTTTTGCCCAAGATTACACCTGGACTGCAGTCCTCTCATTTGTGCTTCCCCAGTGGCTGGGATGACAAGTGTGCAACATTACAATCACTACCACTGAGATAAACTTTTTTTTAGTTTAGCTGGGTCTTGGAACATTGATCTTTCCAGTCTTAGACTCCCATGTAGCTGTGATGTCAGGCACATGCCACTGAACCCAGCTTATTTATTTATTTATTTATTTATTTTATTATTTTTTGCCAGTCCTGGGGCTTGAACTCAGGGCCTGGGTGCTGTCCCTGAGGTTCTTTTGTTCACAGTTAGTGTTCTACCACTTGAGCCACAGTGCCACTTCTGGCTTTTTCAGAGTAGTTGATTAGAGGTAAGAGTCTCACAGACTTCTCTGCCCAGGTTGGCTTTGAATTGCCATCCTCAGATCTCAGCCTCCTGAGTAGCTAGGATTACAGGCATGAGCCACCAGTGCCTGGTGAACCCAGCTTTTTAATGCTTGAGAAGCAATCTCTTGAATGTTATGGCTGGTCTAGCTTTGAACTGAGATCCTCCTGATCTCAGCTTCCTGAATAGGTGTGAGTTATCTATGCTTAGCTGATGGGTTTTAAGAAGAATGTCTCAGAGATAGAATGACATTCTCATTACACCATATCAAGGGCACATACACTGTAAAACATGCTTTATCACCATTGATGTTAACTATGATCACCTGGCACAAATGTCAGGTTTGTCTACTATAGTTACTTCCTCTCCTCTTTTGTACTATATTCCTTGGAAAGATACCATACCATAGTTATATAATTATGTACAACCTATACTTAAAGAGTGGGGATTTATATTGCATCTCTTTGCGGGTGAAGTAGATACAAAAATTATTTTACCTATATATACTCTTTTTTTGGTCATGGGGCTTGAACTCAGGGCCTGGGCATTGTCCCTGAGCTTCATGTGCTCAAGGCTAGTGGTCTACCACTTTGAACCATACAGTTCCACTTCTAGTTTTCTGGTGGTTAATTGGATAAGAGTCTCATGGTCTTTCCTGCCAGAACTGGCTTCGAACCAGGATCCTCAGATCTCAGCCTCTTGAGTAGGTAGGATTACAGGCATGAGACACTGGTGCCTGGTTTATCTATCTACTTTTTAGATACCTCTCTGTATAGTCAGAAATACTGAGTATTAGACTAAGCACAGGAAGTACCACATTCCATTGTTATATATAAAAACATTGTAATGAAAGATAAAGTTTCTTTGAAACTTTTTGTGTGTGTGCCTATGTCAGGACTGGAGCTGGAACTCAGGGTGGTCAAGGATAGCACTCTAACACTTGAACCACAGCTCTACTTCCAGCTTTTTGGTGGCTAATTGGAGAGAAGAGTCTCACGGACTTTTCTGTCCAGACTAGCTTTAAACTGCAATCCTCAGATCTCAGCTTCCTGAGTGTCTAGGAGTACAGGCATGAACCACCAGTGTCCAGCTTCTTTATAACTTTCTTTTTATAACCAATTAACTATTCATCCTCACTATCCATGTGAAAGCTTACAGTTCCTCTTCTACTGCTTTTGATGTGCTATTTTTGCTTTTAGAAACTAACAAACAACAAATTTCCCCTTTCAGTACTAAAATTAAACCCAGTTTTTAAAGTATTTCTCTGAAACATTATCCTAGGAACTCTAACTCACGTAGCTATAGAAATGTTACTGTGATGTTGTGATCTTAAAGCAAAGTCAGTGCAAGATAGTCACTTTATATGTTTGTGTATACAAGTGTATTATTTATGCATATATTTGCATATATTGCATCATTACATATATAATGTGAGATGTCATATATAATGACACACATATATGTCATATATGTATATATAACCCAGCCACTTATACCAAAGTGCTATTTAAAAATCTAAATTCATAAAATTACAATGTGTGTTCTTTTGCTATTATGAGTTTCTTCAACCCTCATACCTTAGGTCTCAAATATATTTCTATTCACTAATGATACAGTGTTGTAAACAAAGATGCCAGTGGAACCATTTATGTATTGTCTTCTTAACATATTGGAAGGACTCAACAGAATAATGTCTCTTAATTCCTCAGGGTGAATTCTGCTTTTTAAAAACTGTAGTCATGGGGCTGGGAAGGTGGCTCAGTGGTAGAGCGCTTGCCTTGCATGCCTGAGGCCCTGGGTTTGATTCCTCAGCACCACATAAGCAAAAAGAAAAAAGCTGGAAGTGGCGCTGTGGCTCAAGTGGTAGAGCGCTAGCCTTGAGCTGAAGAGCTGAGGGACAGCGCCCAGGCCCAGAGTTCAGGCCCTACTACCGGACCAAAAAAAAAAAACAAACAAACAACAAAAACAAACACAAAAAAACTGTAGTCATGTGTCCTTTCCCCTCCCTACCGTCAAATAAAGTAGGAAGGACGTTGGAGGGGGGATGTTGACTGGCTCAACTCGGTGGACTAATATCTTTGTCTTGATTTCAACTATCCATTGTCTTTATTTACTCTCCCAGTACTTCCTACAAGTATTTTGGAAGGTGTCCTATTTAAAAGAAAGCAGAGTGGTTAAAAAAAAAAAAAAAAAGAAGCACATCGAATTGTACTTTGTGAGTCGTGGCAAACCAATCAACCCAAAAGAGAGTGGCTCCCCAAAACTGCACAATCGGATTGATTTAAAAGTTCCCCCATAAATACTTTTGCACCAACTACTTTTTCTTCCTTGAAAAACTCGAACCAAGAACTTGATGCCTGTGAAGATCCGAAGAAGGAAAAGGAAACTCACCCACATGAGCAACACTTCACACACACACACACACACACACACACACACACGCAGGCACGCACAGTTCCAGGCTTTCCAAATTCGAGACCACTCGCTTTAAACTTGAGCTTGCCAAGGACGCAGATCCCATCCCGCCGTGGGATCGCGCCCGGTCACCCATTAGTCTCCTCAAATAGACACCGCGAGGCAGTTACTCTGATGCACCATTTCCAGGATCTGGGGGTTCCTGCGGTGTGACCAGAAAAGGGGCTGAAGGTGCCGAACCTGCGTTCTTTAAAGCCTCCGCCAGCCAGCGCCGCTGTAACCTCGCGCACCGGCAGGTCGCCCGCTCCTCCGGCCCCGGACGAACCGCGCCGAGCGACGCGCGCCACCGGAGCCGACCCGACCCGACCCGGGAATCTCCAGCAAGCACGGCCGGAGCACGTGGCGCGGGCCGGGGAGCCTGAGCTGCAGCTCCAGCCCGACGCAGCCCGGCGGAGACATGGCAGGTGAGCCGCCGCCCCTTGCACCAGGGGGTCTTGGAGAAGCTCCGGCGGTGCCCGCTGCGCGCGGGGGCTTTTCCTTTTGCAGCTATAGTTTGGCTTCTGTTTCTTTCGTCAAAAGTTTTTTTTTTTGCTTTTTTTAAAAGGTATTTCCGCGGGTTGGTTCTCACACACCTCCTTTTCCAACCTTGCAAAGGGATCGCTTTTCTCCGCAGTTTTCTTTCTTGGCGGGGTGGGGGGAGAGGGAGGGGGGTGTCAGGCCCGAAGTCTGCAGGGGAAGCGCGTTCGCGGGGCGGCCCTGCGTTGGCAGCAGATGGGAATAGAATCGTACCGGGCAATGAGTTTGTTTTTCCATTCATGGCCTCGAAGTCCCTTGGAATTAGATTAGCCCGAGTGGCTTTTTCTGAAAAGGTAACTACTTCCCTCGGCCCCCCCCCCCCCCCCCCGCATTTCTTCTGAGGGGTAAACACTGTGGTCGTGGAGAGGGGCTCATCTTAAAGTGATTGTCAGCCCGGTGACCTTGGAATTCCATCTCCTAAATGAGCCCCCCCCCCCCCCCACCTCTCCCAAAGCAAATAATCAAGTTCAAGTACAGTGTTTTCATTCAACTTCGTTTAGGAAGTTATAAAACTCTCCTTGCTGCACAGAATTGGGATGGGGGCCGGAGTGGTGGTGGTGGTGGTAATGCACTTCCTTGGATTAACTACAATTTCCCAACCGCTGTGCAACTTCAATAGTCTTTTTCAAGAAGTGCTTCTAAAATTTTGAAGATGGCAGCTGTATCTCAACTTCAAGGAGGAGGAGGAGTTCCCATTTAGAATAACAGAGTTTGAGAAATGCATGTATTTTAATATAAAAACAGGTGATGATGCTTAGCTAAAGTGCAGAGTGGCGAAATGTGAGGAAAATACTGGATATTTTCTTCGCAGTAATCTCAGGATCTCCTCCGTTGAACCTTGATCTTAGATATCTCTAGTTCTAGAGTTAATGAAAAGATGATTAAGTACTCTGGCTCATGGACAAAAGTGGTAGTTTTGTTGCATTATACAAATGTAACAATGCAATCTTAAATCCTGTCTGTACGTGGATATACTTTTTTTTTTACTGCCTTAACGCATGTAAATATTTTTTTCTTCTAAGTACTAAATGATAATCCAATGAATAATAGTACATATTTAGTACATAGAATTTTTTTAGATACATTAGTTGTAAGAGTTACATTGTGACGTTTCCACATAATGTGTCCTAATCTAGCTCACCTTCTCTATCAGTCTCCTGTATCCTACTTCTTAAAACAATTTCAGCAGGTTTCATTGTTCTAAGTAGAAACTTTTAAATGGCCATTATTGAATAATGCTTCAAGTATTTTCTCTTGTGGAAAATTCCTTATGCTTTTCATTTTACAATCATCAGCATTAAAAAAAAGTTAAATGTTTGCATTTTATTTCATCAAAGTACATCGTACACATCTATGGAAATGTCAAAATTAAACCCCTTTGTACAATTAATATATGCTAATACAAAATTGCATTTTGGATATTTAAATAATGGCTTACGAAGTATAATTTTTAGCACCGAAAAGTTTTCATTGGCTAAGAATAGTTTTAAAAAGTTGGGGGAAAAAAGTTATGGGAAATTATTTTTTTTTAAAACTCTCATGCATTAATGATTACAAATAATTAGTTTACCTTTGTGAGGTTATAAATCAATATTCTAGCACTATTTTCTTAGTTTTTAAGCCCATCGCTTATGCAAATAATGTACAGAGTCATATAAATCCATAGAAACGGAAATATTTCTCTGTAAATATTATCAGATTTATTTATTCAAGGTGAAATAAACTAAAGTATTTTAGGGATGTCCTAATAGGCTCTTAGATGAGACTCATAAAGACTCTGAAGGAGAAAAGAATGTATAGACTTTAAAGGAATAGAATATAGATCAGTAATTTTTAAAGTTAGGAGTTTAGATAATTGTATCTATAATTCATAGATTCATAAAGATGGATGGATGGTCTATAGTGTGCTTCATACAAAAACTTAAAGATTGCAATGAAAGAGATTAATGTTGGGCTTGGTTATTCTAACACTAATTCCTGGATACAATAAAATAAAATATATAAAAAGTTTATTATAGTAACCTATAGCTCGTATTTTTCACACTTAAAATATTTTAAGAAAATCTTGATTTTTCCTCTCATTTTAGCATAGAGGTTTGACCTATAGTATATACCTTGTTCAGTAGTGTATGAGGGGAAGCATTTATATTTTTGCCTAATTTGGTTGTTGAATCAATATACCAGTTTATTGTAAAATGTAAGATTAGCGACTCATTCTTTTGGTAATATAAAAGTATTTATTTATTTATCTTTTCAAAAATGCAGAGTATCAAAAGCTATAACTTTTGTCTTTTATCACAGTGACCTAAAATATTTGCTATCCAAGGAGCATATCAGTACATTTTATTACTTGTGGTATATTAATGTCACTTTTAGCTGATATGATTGGGAAATTAGATGGTTCACGATGCTGAGTTTCACAGATAATAGCAGATTTCCCATTTAACAATATAAAGTCTTTATTTTAACAGGTTGAGTAGAGTTTTTTTTAAAGTATATTTATTACATAGCCTCCTGCTTTATTTATTTATTTTTTTTGGTGCCTGAACTCTGGGCCTGGGTGCTGTTCCTCAGCTCTTCAGCTCAAGGCTAGCACTCTACCACTTAAGCCACAGTGCCACTTCCGGCTTTTTTCTTTTTGCTTATGTGGTGCTGAGGAATCGAACCCAGGGCCTCATGCATGCAAGGCAAGCACTCTACCACTGAGCCACCTTCCCAGCCCCAAGCCTCCTGCTTTATATACTTGGTACATAGCAGATACCTTCATCTCAGTGACCCATTGTCTCTGTGGGTCACAATTGAGTTGACCAGGTAATATAGTTCTTTATTTATTCTCATGGGTTATTTTAAACTGTGCAGAACTGAAATCCTTACACTAAGTATTCCCAATTTGTGTGTGTGTGTGTGTGTGTGTGTGTGTGTGGTGTGTGTGTGCACCTGTGTGTGTGTGTGTGTGTGTATTCTTTTTTGACATCAGCTTTTCAGGTCATTTTCTATGTTCTGGATGGCTGATATGAACAGATTTAACTTTCAGGTGGTGTTTTTTTGCCCTCTGTTATAAGTGTGTGGACGTTGAAATGGCAGCGTTTTAGGGAACTATGGGCACAGAAAGGCCATGGGTTCCTGGGGTAGAAAAGGTAGAAAATAGTTTTTTGAAGTTTCTATTTGCACCTTCTGTTGTCTAACAAGCTACTTCACACGTCCATATCTTTGCTAAAATTTTCACCACAATGTCTATTGGTTGCCTACTGATCTTTCAGGACTCGACTCAGGCATCATTGCTACCAAATCTCTACTGATGACTTCTTCCTAGTACCTCCCTCATCTAGGGGAAGAGCTTCTACTTTCTGTGGATAGTTATTCATTTATTTTATTAGCATCCATTAGTTGTATAAGGGAGGGGGATCCACTGGGACATTTCCACACAGTTATACAATGCATACATGTATTCTCACTTTCTCTATCACTCTCCCCTATTTAAAATTGCAACAGGTTTCATTGTTTTATCTTTTTTATACATGTGAATCAACTGTATGGAGTATATTCATCCTTATTCACCTACTTTTTTAGCCTTCTCTTCTCCAGCTGGTGCCCGTCGGTTTTGCTTTTCTGTTTTTCTGTGTGTGTGTCCATGTGCATTACTTGCACCAAGGTAAAATTATTTATTGATTTAATATTTATTCCTTCTCTGGTCTTTAGGCGTCTGGAGAGCAGAGGTTATAGGGTCTTTGCTTGTCTTGTTTTGTGTATGTGTATGCTGGTCCTGGAGACCAAACTCAGGGTCTGGGCCCTGTCCTTGTGGTGTTTTTGCTCAAGACTAGTGCTCTAGCACTGAGCCACAGTTCTACTTTTACCTTTTTTGGTAGATGATTACGTATAAAAGTCGCTTGGAGGGCTGGGAAGTTGGCTCAGTGGTAGAGCGCTTGCCTTGCATGCCAGAGGCCCTGGGTTCGATTCCTCAGCACCACATAAGCAAAAAGAAAAAAGCCAGAAGTGGCGCTGTGGCTCAAGTGGTAAAGCGCTAGCCTTGAGCTGAAGAGCTGAGGGACAGCGCCCAGGCCCAGAGTTCAGGCCCCACGACCGGACCCAAAAAAAAAAAAAAGTCTCATGGATTTCCTTGCCTAGGCTGTCTTCAAACCTTGATTCTCAAATCTCAGCCTCCTGAGTAGCTAAGATTGCAGCTATAAGCAAACAGCTTGATTTTTGTGTTCAAAAGTAAAGAAGATGAATGTTAAATATTTTTAGTGTTTCAACTTTCTAACAGATTACTTTGTCTTGTTTAATTAAAACTTATTGTGGGGCTAGGGATGCCGCTCAGTGGAACACTTGCCTAGCATTCATAAGGCACCCTCCCGAAAAATAACCCCAAATCCTCAAAAAGAAAAATCTGAAGTAATAAGGTGAAGCACTTGTAAGTGGCAATACATTTTATATGCATTATCTTTGGTGTTTTCCCCATTTGCAAATAAAACAAAATTCAGAAATGATTAATGTACAGGAACTGATGATAAAGTTGCAATTTTTATCTATAATTAACACTAGGTTTCAAGTTTTTCTTTACTAAAATGATCTTCCTATTCTCATTGTTCGATTTTTTAGTAGATTACATATTTAAAAAAAATCTTAACAAGTCGTTTAAGGATACAGGTGGACCTGTTGCAACAATAAGTACAAGTTGTAATGTCAAAAACGAGCTTTACAACGTTGGTGGGGGGGGAGGGGTGGAAGATTGGGTGGGGGGGAGGCTGGGAAGGGATGTGAAGGGTAAACAAAGGAGGAGGCTGCAATGCTTGATAAGAAATGTACGCATTATCCTGCCCATGTAATTGTAACCCCTCTGTACAGTATGTTCACAAAAAAAAAAATTAAAAAAAAATCTTAAAGGGTC